TCTCAATCAAACTGCAGCTGGGTTATTTTGATTAGGAAAAAAATAACTAAAAAATACAGCTAACTAACACAATAAAAAAATTGTATAATAAAAAAACATGATTAACGGAGTTATCTGTTTTTGCAAATAAACTCTTCATTTATGAATGGATGATTCAATTTAATTTCGTTCAAATGGATGATTTATTCAAAAAGGAAGCTATAGTGAATGGATATTTCAATCAACGATTCGTTCAAAGGCGATTAATTCAGAAACAAACACTGCTAAGTTTCGCTCAGAGACGCACAAACGGCTGTTTTGTATCTTTAAATGATTTAAAGCCAAAAAGTGATACAATTAGACAAGTCCAGTCATCAGTTTTTTATTACAAGTTCTTGTAATATCGACCAACTTGTTTAACCCAAGCGGCAACCTCCCGCTCTCTCTCGTGAAGCCAACACGGAAGTGACTTAAACTGTAATTCATCGACTGGCCGCTAGAGGCGGGCTGCAAAAGTGAGTCAGTCCCATAGACTCCCCATGTTAAAATGCCCAACTTTACAGCAGAAAAAAACATGTTTACAGCCTGGTTCAAAAAATGATTTTGGTCTATATAGCTAATTTTGCCCTTCATGACAACTGGGGGTGAATTATTTTATAAGTCATCTGTTTAAATGATATTAAGCTTTAAAGTTCTGCATAATTAAGGGTGTGGCCACTTGAGTGACAGGTGGATTGACGGCCAGCTCTGCCCACTCTGTGCTTCAAAAACGCTCTTCAGGAATCTACGGGTGACGTCACGGACACTACATCCATGTTTTTATACAGTCACTGAATTATTAAATTGAGCTCTGTCGGCTGCTAATTAATTTTGGGAAAAAAGCATCTTTCTTAATGTTGGTCATCATTGAAAAGTGCCATTCTTTTTTTTTAAGTGTAAAATAGACTTACATTACCCCCCTTCAGTCGCCGGATAGTCGCTCCGTTCTTCACTGTGAATCACTGCTAGCTAGCATCCGATGGTTAGTGTATTTCAATTACAGCAGTGCTGGAATCCGCTCGGCTCGCTAATGTTAACAGCACAGTTGAGCTAACATCTCCACTTCTGCTGGCATGCTCACTTCAGCCGAGAAACGGACCATCTGGCGGTCTAAGCAATCGCTTCCAGCGTTAGCGTAGCGCTTTGACACTTTAGCCATAGTCTCACCACTGCTACCTTTATGAACGCTGACTTTACACTGAGTGAAATATTAATATTATGCGTGCTTCACAATGTGTACTGCATATGGCTTACTATTAAAAAAGAGTATGAAACAGTATGCAGTACGAAATGCTAAACATTTTAACTGTAGCATGCCACCCACATGCATGTTTAAAGTGAGCGACACAGTTATGATCAGTTAAATAAATAAATGAAATAATTTATGAGACATCATGTAGTATGAAGTGGGAATAATTTGACTTTCAATAATAATAATAATAATAATTATTATTATTATTATTATTATTATTATTATAAAAATAGTTTGTGAGACAGCATGCATTATGAAATTTAAGGTGCCAAAACTTAGTTTTTAATACTTTCACTCTTCAGTGATAAATTCAGATTTTTAAATAAATGAAAAAAATGAAAAAAATAAAGAAACAAAAAAAAACATAAAAATGTAACATTTGAATTGGAAAAGTGTATTAAAATGAAAAAGAATCGATAAAAATAAAATGCTGTCCTACAATTTTTTTCTATTGTAGAATACTTTTTTCACAGAAATGTTTCACATGGAACAAAATTGCATATTCATGTTGACTTTGAAATTATTCAGTGTATTAAAAATGGTACAATGTTTTAAAAAATAATAAACTATTTTTATTTAAACGTTTTCAAATATTTACATATTGCAAATTTATAAAACTACATATAGCACTAAATTATTTGAGCCATTTTGCTAACTGATATTCTGCAATATTTTTAAAATGTTAAAAAAAATTTATATTCAGTATTTTTAATATTTTAAAATATTTACATATTAAAAAATATATTAAAAAAATTAATTATAAAACATATTTTGAGTCATTTTGCGAACTGACACCGAATTTCTCCAAACCCTCGCCTTTTGAAGACATCTTATGCAGCGTGTGTCGGTTGTACCTTTGCATTTAGTAGCACATCACATGCCTATACATTCACACAGTGTGTTTGAAAAGCAGCAGGTCTAGTGTGCGTTTACACACGGAGCCAGGGGCGGACTTACCCATTAGGCAAAGGTAGGCGACCGCCTTGGGCCCCTAAAAGCCAAGGGCCCCCTAAAATGCTTTTCATATAGGAGATGCGCATTAAGCTCTGACACGTGAACGGTTGCCGTTTACGGTGTTTATTACCACGACAACCGTCTGAGTTGAACGTGCTTCTTGTGTATCCTGCTTGAAGGAGATGAAAATATCATGCATCTGAAGCTGTAACTAAATATTGAGAAACAGTGTGTATTATGTTTATAACTGTTTTAAATGCCGCTTGCTCATTTATAAGAAGGAACCAATTAGAGGACACATACGCAGTTACTTTTTTGGTTGCTATAATCCTTAGGTGTGTAAATGTATAATTTAAATTTTTTTTTAAGTTTATTTAAAGTTTTATTTAAATTTGTAGTTAAATAGTATTTTAAATAGTATTTTAAAGTTTAGAATTAGACAGCCTTACGCTGGTAACTCATCAGTGGACTTTACTCGTCAATATAGACTATATTTTTTCAGACTTTTCTCATTCTCACTAATTCAAGGTTTTATATGAATGAATCTCTGAATGGAACCAACTGTCTTCAGGAAAGTTTCGATGGCATTTTCATTTTATCTGATAAAGTAGCGTTTATGAGAGGTTTTTGTTTACAGCCGTTACCAGGGAAACCGCTATATTTCTGACGTTCCAAAAGCGCCTCCTACTGGCAGAGAATTAATCTTCATTTTTAATAATCTAGTCTGTAGTTTTTGTTCAGACCAATGCGAAAATCCACCCACATAACCCCGTTTTAAATGAATATAATAATTTATACTTCTGACTCACCCCTGGTTTAAATGCCCAATTGTGAGGTTTATTATTTTATCATTTATTTTGTTTTTGTGAAAACCTGTATCTCAACTGTAAATCAGTTGCTATTTCGTGGTCTACAACATGAAAGAAAGCCATTATGACATGTACATGAAAAATGTAGAAACATTGGACAACTATGGGGCACCATTGTGCAGCAGCAAGCATCACAACAAAAAAGGAACCTCAAGGTTGATCTAGGAAAGTGTGTGCAAATGTATAGGGCCCCATTCCTATATTTTGTCTGGGGCCCCCAATTCACTAAATCCGCCCCTGCATGGAGCGAGAGGCAAGCATGCGTCCGTCCGTCCGTCCGTTCTGTCCACACACAGACTGGGGTTTGTGTACAGAGGATTCTCCAGCTCTCTGCTGCCAGTCTGTGTTTACTCACAGGACAGCTGGTGCCATTTCATTATTGTGTGTGTGTGTGTGTGTGTGTGTGTGTGTGTGCGCTCACGGTCATCTGTGGTTTGTCTGTGTTGTGTTGTGGTTTGTGTCATATCAGTTGTTCTGAACCTGCTCACACACACACACACACAGGCGTGTTGGATGCTGCATTTGTCCTGATGTCCAAAGTCCTGCAGTGCGACTAAGGGCCAATTTAAAGGACATCTGTTGCTCTTGGCTGACATAACTGGCACACTGATGCAGAATACACACGGGATGCTTGGACAGGAGACGGAGCCGAGCGCAATCACACACCTGTAGATACACACACACACACACACACACACGTGTGCGCACAGAGTCTGGAAAGGTGAATGTGGCTGAATTATGCTGCATTAAAAAAAAATTCATACATTGACAGAGATAATGGATTCAGTGTTATTTTAGTATCATCGAGGTACTATTAGTTTTTATTTATATTTTGAATGAGCTTTTATTTTGTGTTTTAATTTTAATTTTAGTTCAAGTTTAAGTAATGTTGTTGTGTGCTTTTGTCATTTTTTTTTTGTCTTTTAATATTTACATAAGTTTTTTATTTCAGTTTTAGCATGTCATTTAGTATATAACAAAGTTTATTTTTTCATACTTTGTCATACATATTGGAATATTATTGAGATACTATTAGTTTTAAATCAATATTTCAAATTCATTTTTATTTTTACATTTCTGTTTGTGTGTTTTTGTCATTTTTATTATTTATTAATTAAAAAAAAATATGTCTATTTACATTTTTATTTTTTTTTTTCAGTTTTAGTTTTAGATATTTTACATCAACAAAATAAATGAAAATGCCATGGCAACTAATTGAAATAAAATAAGTTTAAGGTTTATATATATATATATATATATATATATATATATATATATTTGTATTATATTATATTATATTACATTATATTATATTATATCGAATGGTGATTTTATTGTTTTAATTAATAATTAGATAATAGCCCTGAACTTTGTATCCCATTTTTTAATAAAATTAAGATACAAATGGGACAAAAGTTGACACAGTAAAAGTATAACGCTATTGTCTGATTTATGTTGCATCTTTTTACAGTTTTTATTATTCGCATAAAATCGCATAGTTTCTTTTTTAGATTTTGGCAGACATAATGGCGTTCTCAGTTATTTCTCATCTTTGTCTCCCATTTTTTATAAAATAGACAATAAACACAAATGTTGACATACAGTAAGAGTAAAGTGATGTTATTAGATTTAAGTTGCATCTTACTTTTTAGTAGTTGCATGAAATAGTCACGAATTAGATATTGTTGAGTACAGAGCTATTATCAGATCATTTGTGCTTGGAAGAATTTGATGACAAATGTTTGAGTTTGGGATCTCTGACTTTTGTTGGCAGACATTGCAATCTAAATTTACAGTCTCACTGCTGATATAACTGAGATTTACCAATATGCAAAGCTGTACTATATGCATGTTTAGGTGATGATACTCAGTGGCATTAGAGTGTTTTGATGTGTTGTTGTTGCTAGGATACGCCATCCTGCAGGCCATCATGGAGAAGGCGGGTCAGAACGGCTGGCAGGTCAGTGCCATCTGTGTGGAGAACTTCAACGACGCCAGTTACCGAAGACTGCTGGAAGACCTGGACCGGCGGCAGGAGAAGAAGTTCGTCATTGACCTCGAGGCAGAACGTCTGCAGAACATTCTGGAACAGGTGAGGATGACGTCAGTGCATCACAAAGCAAGTCAACATGTAAAAAAAAAAAACGGTCCCATTTACTTCCTTAATACACAATATTATTATGAACAGTGCATGTTATAAAAAAAAATTCATAATCTTTCACCAAAATGTAATAAATTATTTTTGAACTCCTCCAACTTCCTGTTATAAAGACGCACAGAAATACATTATGAAATAAAATGGGAATGCCATTTCATGTTGACTTTGAAATTATTCTACAATTTTTAAAATGCATTTCAAATTTGACAATGTTTAAAAATATTTGTATATTTAAAAAAATAATTAATTAAAACACATAAAACGAAATATAGCGCTGTAAGTGTTTTGAGACATTTGGCTAACTGGCAATATTTTAAAGTTAAATATTTATTAAAAGGAAATATTAATTTATTTGGTAAAAATATTTAGATATTTTAAAATATTTTTTTTAATTATGAGACTATATATAGTACTGCTTTTGAGCAATTTTGCTAACCGACTCTGAAATTAATATATCAATATTTCAAATTTATTTCAAATTCTACAATGCGTAAAAATATTTTAATATTTTAATTTTTTTTATAAATATTTTACATTTATATTATTCAAATATTGTAAATATTAAATATTTAAATATATATTTAAATATTTAGCTATTTAAAAATATTATTTATTTTTACATTTGTAAAAAAAAAAAAGTATTAATCTAACAATATATTTAAAAAGTATAAAACTTTATATAGTTATCTATTTGAGACATTTTGCTAACTGACTATGAATATTAAAAAAGCCTAACATTTTTAATGTTTATTTATCTAAATATTTAAAAATATATATTTTTATTTAAATAATATTTTTTTTAATTATGAAATTATAGATATTATTATATTATTATTATACATATTAATTATATAGAATGATATATTCTACAATTACATAAAAAAAATACTAATACATTTTTTTTAATGTTTAGATGTTTAGATATTTTTAAATATATTTAAGTATAAAACTATATATTACTGTAAGTGCTTCTTCTGTAAGTTCTGTAAGTTTTGCCAGCTGACTTTGAAATTATTATACAATATTTTTAAAATTAAAATTTTAATGTTTTGACATATATATATATATATATAAAGCATTATAAAACATAATCATACACATATACTGTACACACATATATGCATGCATAAATATGATTTGAGCTGTTCACACCAAACTTCTCCAAAACATCGACTGGCACAATGCACAATGGCCCTGAATGTGCAGATTGAGTGACAAGCACAGAGTGTTTCTGATTGGCTAAAAAAGCACAGGTCCGCCTGCCTAACTCATGACCAGCCTCACAATGCCCATTCCAGTAATATCTGTCAGGTAGCAGCCACATTTATTGCGTATTCCAAAAATTCCAAAATGCGAAAACGCTTCGTGCACCGTTAAAGGAAAAGCATAGAAACACAAATCCCAGCGAGCCGGAGGGATCAGTGTTTTCCTCCTGGCCTGTGATTTGTCATTTTCTCTGATCCCTCCTCCCGCCTGCGGAGCGTCTCGCTGTTTCTCACAGAATATGAGCACGCTCTGTCTGTCATGTGCACTCAAACTCAGAATAACATGACGTACAGAGAGACAGCGAGGAGAGCAGGTGCTTACAAAACTGCTGCCAAACATCCTGAAACAGACACATCACACTGACCTGAGCCCAATGAACATCCCACACACGAACAGACAGCATTCACTGCAGGCCAGTCAGCTCAAACATTGTCATGACAAGAACCTTACTGAGCAACATTCAGTTTAGTGCTATTTAAATACTCATGCCAACATTAAAGGGGTCATATGATGCGATTTCACGTTTTGCTTTCTCTTTGGAGTGTTACAAGCTGATTGTGCGTAGATAAGATCCCTGAAGCTGCAGAAAGAATACCATAAAAATGAAATCGTTTTTGAAAGAAATTAATGCTTTTGTTCAGCAAGGATGCATTAAATTGATCAAAAGTGACAGTAAGACCTTTAACATGTTACAAAAGATTTCTATTTCAAATAAATTATGTTCTTTTAAACTTTCTATTCATCAAAGAATCTTGAAAAATAAAATGTATCACAGTTTCCACAAAAGTATGAAGCAGCACAACTGTTTTTAGCCATTTTTAAGGTCTTTTTGGCAAGTTTTACAAGCACGTGTCATCATATTTATTATTAAATTAGAATAAATATTTGATATAAAATAATTACAGTAATTATTTTAATTACCAAATTATTAAAATATTATCAAATTATTTAATATTAAAATTCATGAATTAATATAAATGTATAAATGCATACATTTATTGATTTATTTTTTAGAATACATAATTTCTTTTAATATAATTCATTTAATATAATTTTCAAGATTTTGTATTCATTTAAAAAAATGTTATTCATTTAAAATAATTTAATATAATTTCAAATATTACACAATATTACTGTTTTTACTGTATTTTTTATCACAAATGCAGATTTGGTGAGCAGAAGAGACTTCTTTCAAAAGCATAAAACATCTAATAATTCTTAATATTACAATTGATAAATGTATACATTCATTGACTTCTTTTTAAAATATATAATTTATTTTGATATAATTAATTTAATATTTTAATGATTTTTTTTCTATTTACAAATAATTAATTAAATATTCATTAAATTCATTTAATATATTTTTATTCATTTAAAAAAATCAGCTTTGCAATCACAGAAATAAATTACACTTTACAGATTACAAAATGAACAGCAACAGAAAACAGCTATTTTCAATTTTAATAATATTCATAATAATTTCTCAATAGTACTTTTTTACTATATGTTTAAGACATTTCCTAAAAAAAAAAATAAGTCACTGACCCCAAACTTTTGAATGCATACTAGCATTAAACGTGCCTAATGTGTAGCAGCTCCATGTTTCTCGGGCGGTAATGATGTTCAACACGAGCAGCAGAAGAAGTCTCTATACGTCTGATCTATGAACTCTGCGATTGTGGGCCGTGTTTGATTGTTGCATGCTCCGTCTGTTCCTCAGGCAGACCTCTGAGGTGCCCATCTATCAGCCTGACAGCAGACTTGGCAAATACAACCAGACACACACACACTCACACACACACACCGTCTCGCAGTTGGACATAGTCAGGTACAACATCAACAGAATGTTCTCTCTACATGCCCTGCCAGTCCTGCCAGCAAGTTCCTCGAGCAGATGTGGATCTGGCATCAGCGTCTGCTGATCTTACACCGATACCGCTTACACACTAGACAAATCTCACATCCAGCAAAAGATATTGCTTATTGTTAAATTTTGATTTAAAAACACATTTGAAAAATTTGATGAATATATCCTCACCCTCAGGCCCTCCAAGATGTAGATGAGTTTGTTTCTTCATCAGATTTGGAGAAATGTAGCATTGCATCACTTGCTCAGCAATGGATGCTCTGCAGTGAATGGGTGCCGTCAGAATGAGAGTCCAAACAGCTGATAAAAACATCACAATAATCCACAAGTAATCCCCCCCCCCCCCAGTCCAGCAGTTAACATCTGGAGAAGACAAAAGCTGGAACAAATCCATCAAGATGTTATTTTACTTCAAACCAAGTCCATAATCAATAATAATGCTTCCTCTGGTGAAAAAGTGGTCTGGTCTGAATCAGGAGAGAAATCTGCACAGATCAAACACCATTTACAAGCCAAAACAGCTCTAAACAAATATGTGAGAGACAACAGGAGATTGACTTTTTCACTGGAGGAAGCGTTATTATGAATTATGGACTCCTATTTTGACCAGAAGCAACGGTTTGAAGATAAAATGTCTTAATGCTGGATTTGTTTCAGCTTTTGTCTTCTCAAGATGTTAACTGATGGACTGGAGGGGTGTGGATTACTTGTGGATTATTGTGATGTTTTTATCAGCTGTTTGGACTGTCATTCTGACGGCACCCATTCACTGCACAGCATTCAGCATTGCTGAGACAGTGATGGAATGCTATATTTTTTGACTTTTTTAATTTTTAATTCAAACCATTGCTTCTGGCTAGTCCATAAGCCATAATATTGCTTCCTCCAGTGAAAAAGTCCACTTCAAGCATGACAAAAGCATTCTTTTGACATGATTTACTTGCTTCAATTCTAATTGGTGGAGAGTTAGCAGAATTATGGGTAATGTAGTTTCTTACCAGGAATTCCACTGTTGAACACAATTATTTACAAACATAAGTTAAAATAATGCAGGTTGATGGCTTCAACAAAAGCATATACCATCGATTAACAACCTCACAGTAGGTCTGTCTTTAAAGGTTTGTAAGTTATTGTTAAAATCAAAATTCTCCTTCTACTTTCATTCAAATTTTAACTGCAATTCTGCATCCTCTTTGCCACAGGAATACAAATCCAATTTTACAGGAAAGCAATTCTGAAATGCACACAATGTCTTGGAACCTAAACTCTGTAAAAAAAATACTTACTTATATACACTTTTCCAAGTATAGGTAATACATCTGTTGGCTGAATTACTGAAGCATGTAATAAAAGAGTCTTTGTGATATTTACTCTTTACTCAATCCATATATTTCTATCTCTCTCTCTCTCAGATTGTCAGCGTGGGCAAACATGTGAAAGGATACCACTACATCATCGCTAACCTGGTGAGTGCTGGCGCAGTTTGATGAAGCGCTGGAGGAAATGAACAGCGTGTCCTCTGGCTGTAATTCTCTGTGACAGAGCTTCACTTTCCTGAAGAAAACCAGAACGCAGTATTACTTTTGGCACAACGATTGCTCAAATGAAGTGCGCTAGTGCTTTACTAAGTGATCAAACACACCATTTTCACCTGCTGGATGATCCTGCACATGTAAAATCCCATAGAATGCAAACAGAGACTTGAGGACGCAGAACTTTTTTTTAGTTTGTTTATTAAGAAACCACCCAGAACACCATAGCAACACATCTTTTTGGAATTATTTTTTAATCTAAAATGTATTTGAATTCATATAATTTTTTATTACGAAGTAATGAATTTTAATTAACTTTTTATGTATTTGTAAGTACCTCTCTCATACATTTTTTATATATAATTTTAATTAATTTAATATAATGTCATTCATTTTAATGCATTTAATATAAAACTTTTTATGTATTTGTAAGTCCAATTCTCCAATTCTTTTTTTAAATATCGAATTTATTTGAATATAATTTAATTCATTCATTCATTTAATATAATTTGTATGTATTTGTTTGAATTGTTCTCTTATTAATCTGATTGTACCACCTAGCAACCACCTCAAACACCCTAAGCACATAGCAACAAACTAAACATCACTCAGATCATCTTAGCAACCATAAATCAATGCCCTGGCAACACTGCACCTCTCACATCTTTTTTGAATGTATCTGTATTTATCTTTCTCTAGTTAATTGGTGCGAATCACGTAGCAACCACCCAAAACACCCTAGCAACACGAAGATGAGTTTTGCACCTCTCAGAAACTGTAAAACTCAATCTGGATGATAAATTAATCTGAACTGCTAGTTAGTCTGAAGGAATTTGCAGTCTTGTTCAGTTTTGGAGACTCTGACTATGATGGACTGCTGAACCTGAACTTTGTTACGTGTGATTTATCGTTGCTTATTTTGTGCTGGGCCTTCGTAACGTATTCTGCGCTGACATTTGTTAGCGTCAGCATCTGGGATATTAAGAAATGTTAAAACTCACTCTGTCTCACATTCATTCCATCAATCTCCCTTTTTCCACCTCTTTATCTTTTGAATGAATCGGCTGCATTCGCTCTGACTCTGATCTGCTCTCTGTATTTCTCCCTGCAGGGATTTAAGGACATTTCTCTTGAGAGGTTTATGCATGGCGGGGCAAACGTAACTGGTTTCCAGTTGGTGGATTTCAGCAAACCAATGGTGATCAAACTAATGCAGCGCTGGAACAAACTAGACCAGAGGGAGTATCCAGGATCCGAGAGCCCACCCAGGGTAAGCAAATACATTTACAACATAATTAAACACAAATGCAAGCACCAATAAACCAGAGTAGCAAACACTTTTGTGCACGCAAACGTGCTCAACACCATTGAATCAATTAGCAGAATAATTCCTTATCTACTCAAACAGCGTGTTTGGAAATCGCCCGGCAAATGGCAGGTTGGTTTAAATCAGGTTGGAACCCTGATAATCCTGTCGGACGCATGTGGCAGAATTCCAGACACAGATGTTCAGCCAATCAAACTGTGACAGGACACATTCTTCGTCAAGCTTTAGCCAATGAGATTCAACGAGCAGCTGCCCAGGCAATATTTGAGTCAATTAAACCATGACAGACTGCAGCCGGAGCCACGTTTAACCCGTCTGTTGGGGAACGTGTGTAATAAAGTCTAAATACAAGTAAACACATGTTTTAAGTTGTGTTTTGAAGACTAGCATTCTAGTCTCATTTCCAAGAGACAAATTCACATTTAGGGACGCGATTAAAATTGATCAAATAATGTGTTTTTCCTTTATAAAGGGATACAATGAAAGCAAAAACATTAATAGTTTATTAAAATAATACAAATATTTTTTATATATTTTAGCTTCAAACTGTATTTAATAATTATGTATTTGTATTTATTTATATGCCTTTATATATATACAGTGGGGAAAAAAAGTATTTAGTCAACTACCAATTGTGCAAGTTCTCCCACTTAAAAAGAAGAGAGAGGCCTGTAATTTTCATCATAGGTATACCGTATACCATTTAAAGTAAATTATATTAACATGAAAAAAAACTGAATATTATAATATACATACATACATACATACATACATACACAAAGATTGTATATAATTTAAAATAAACTATATTAATAAAAAAAAATGTTTTAAACGAATTATTAAAAAAAAATATATATATATAAACACACACACACATACAGTGCTGGTTAGTAACTGGTTACATGTAATCAGATTCCAAAAATTAAGATTCTATTAAATTTCAAAGTTATTATAATCAGACAGTTACTTTTTTATAGGTTACATGATTACATATTATTTACACAATGGCAGTAAATTATTCAGAAGTACTGATTTGCTCTAATTCTTCTATTTTCTCTCTTAAATTTTAGTAAAACATATTATATACTAAATAATAAAAAATAAAGTAATAAAAAGTAATATATGTATATTTAAGTCAAATGTATTTTTATAAATACATTTAAAAGTTTACTAATCAACTCCTGTTCTTTATCCCCAAATTTAAGACCTCTTAATATGATTATTAAGATGTTTGTTATAACATTTAAGATATTTTTAAGACTAAGATATTTTAATTCGAGACTTTTTATGACCTTAAATTTAATAAAACAAAATTTTATAGACATTTTAAGGACCCGCTGGAATTTTTCTTATTCTCACACGTTCCTAAATTCAGTTCGCACACATCTATTCTTAGTCGTAAATACAAGTGAACCTGTACCACACAAAATGTATTACAGTTCTCCATAACTTGAAAACAAGACAAATATACTCATTAAGACGATTTTACTAGACAAGACAAATATACTCATTAAGACGTGCTGCATAACCTCACCTAATCGTGCTGTCCTCAGCTCAAAAACCTTGATTTCCCCCTCTGTTGATAACATGGAGCTCCTTCTCTACTCCCATTGATTAGCACTTCCATCCTGCAGTCCTTGCTATAAATTACCAGAGCAACATCAGACCAATCTTTACGGGTTCATTAGAGCACACTTTACAGGCAAGAGCTCTTACTATCTCCATCTCTTGCTCGCTCTTGATTTTCTGCATCTCGCTCGCTGACTCCCCCTTTAATGATTGTTGTTTGTTCCTGTCTTTCCCTCAATGTTAATTGGATGTTATTATGCCTCTGCTAGAACCATAAATCTTGATTTCCGCTGATCAAGTTCATTCATAACGACCGGTGTCAGTGCAGACCCAGCCACTGAGACTTGTTCTGTCTTATTGGGACGATTTACTCATGCAAATAGCCATGCTTTTGTATTTGTTTATGGAAATAACAACAGATGAAAATCCAGCGTTTTTTTCTTACCGCTAGTGGTACCTCATAAAGAGAAAAACGATGCACTGTTTTCCCCAGCAATCACTCTGGATCTTTACTGTTCTGTAGTAACAATCTGTACTGCTTTACAGCTAAATAGCTTTTCCAGTAACAAGTAGCGGCGGTGCTACATTGCAGTTTTATGTCACATTGCATTACACACGCAGCCTTACAAGCGAGCAGGCGGAGGCAATAATCAATGCGCTCACCTAGAATGCCCTCTCTGCTTCATTTACATCTACTTTAGGCACTAGGACGGCTCTGCATTATACTTGATATGTGATTGTAAACAGGAAGCATGGGTAATGTAGTGTGAATGAAGTAAAGACACAATATTCCTTTTACCTCCTCAGTACACATCATCATTGACGTACGATGGTGTGCTAGTGATGGCGGAGGCATTTCGGAATCTCCGCAGACAGAAGATCGACATCTCTCGCAGAGGCAACGCTGGAGACTGTCTGGCCAACCCGGCTGCTCCTTGGAATCAGGGCATCGACATGGAACGAACTCTGAAACAGGTGAGAGCGGGTGAGATTGTGAAAGACAGGTGAGAGTTGATGGGATGTTGTGAGCCAGGTGAGAGTGGGCGGGACTCTGTACAGCAGGTAGGAATGGGCGGGACTTTGTAAGACAGGTGGGAGTGGGCGGGAATCTGTACAACAAATGGGAATGGGCGGGACTCTGTACAACAAAAGGGAATGGGTGGAACTCTGTACAGCAGGTGGGAATGGGCGGGATTCTGTATGGCAGGTGGGAATGGGAGGGACTCTGAACGGCAGGTGGGAATGGGTGTGAGTCTGTACAGCAGGTGGGAATGGGAGGGACTCTGTATGGCAGGTGGGAATGGGTGAGATTCTGTACGGCAGGTGGGAATGGGCGGGACTCTGCATGGCAGGTGGGAATGGGCGGGAGTCTGTATGACAGTTGAGACTGGGCAGGAAGCTGTCTAAAAGATCAGAGTGGGAGTCTAAGACAGATAAGACTGGGTGAGATGCTGTCTGAAAAATGAGAGTGGGTGAGACTCTATGACAGGTGGGAATGGGAGGGAATCTTTACGACAGAAGGGAATGGGCGGGACTCTGTACGGCAGGTGGGAAAGGGCGGGACTCTGTATGACAGATGGGAATGGGCGAGACTGTACAACAGATGGGAATGGGCGGGACTTTGTATGGCAGGTGGGAATGGGCGGGACACTGTACAGCAGGTGGGAATGGAAATGAGACTGGGTGGAAGCTGACTAAAAGATCAGAGTGGAAATCAAAGACAGACAAGACTGGGTGGAATTATGTCTGAAAAATTAGAGTGGGTGAGACAATACGACAGGTAGGATTGGGTGGGACTCTGAACGATGGGTTAAACTGGGCAGAGAACTATACCTTAAAGGTGAGAGTGGGCGGGACACTCTCTGACAGGTAAGATTGGGCAGGCCTCTGTACGACAAGTGGGAGTGGGCAGGACTGTCGGAAAAAATTAGGTGCGTTCGACTTAACGTGGTGCTGCACAGATCGATCAAATTCTGACTTGAAACAGTGCATGCCAGTTAGAAGTTTTGTCCGACTTGAGACCGTGCAGATGCCACGTGACTGTCACGTGTGGCATCAAAGTACCGTGATAGCAATTCGAGAGCAGCTGCCTGACTCAGCCGCAGCAGTTTCTCCAGAGCGACTGCAGGAGCACTGATGACGACACCGCTGTTTCGCGATTGGCCAGATTCACCGCATGACAACAATCACGTGTGTTTCGGGTTTATTCTAACCTTTTCAATTCCAATTCCAATAATGTCCACATATCTGTGTTTTTAGAATGGTAAAAGCTTTTTTAATGTAGTCGCAATGTTATATTGGGTCACGTTTATCATAAATAAATATGCTGATAAAAGCATATTTACCCCCACTTTACTAGTATTTAAATAGTATATGATTATGTTGAACTTTATTCTTGAACAGATGGTGCTGTATTAAGCAGTATATAAAAAGTGTTTCTGTTGCTCATGAAAATGTTTCTGAAACGTCTGTGTATATGACAAATATTGCATTTAATTCACTTCATCTGTGACAGAGTATGTAAACACCACGCGAGCATCACTACCGGGTGCAGAAAGTGTCAAACTTGACGGCTCCATTTTCAACTCCGCCCCCGACTGCAAGCGGCTACTCTCGTTGACTGCCGTCTGTAACCGTGGTTCAAGTCGAACGCACCTTTTCTGTATGACAAGTTTGAGTAGGTGGGGCACTGTCTGACAGGTAAGAATGGGCAGGGGTCTGAACAGCAGGTGGGAGTGGGCGGGATGCTGTCTGACAGGTAAGAAGGGGCAGGACTCTGTTCGACAGGTGGGAGTAGATTTGATGCTGTTTGACAGGTAAGAATGGGCAGGACTGTTGGAGTGGGCGGAACACTGTCTGAAAGGTAAGAGTAGGCGGGACTCTGTATGACCGATGGGAGTGGGTGGGACTAAATGGGGGCTTGGCAATACAAGATGCAAAGGATACATAAACTTGCTATCAAATCTGACATATTTTAACTCATCTAAAAGGTTTAATCCACTTAGCAAAATAAATTGTAGCCATAAATGATAACTTTGGTCCACGTTTACCAAAAGTGATGTGTGTTCTGTCTTACTAATACTTCCTTGTGTATGTGTGTGTAAAGGTGAGAATCCAGGGTCTCACTGGGAATATCCAGTTTGATCATTATGGACGCAGAGTCAACTACACCATGGACGTCTTTGAGCTAAAGAGTAACGGCCCCCGCAAGGTCAGACACACAACATACTTTCATGCATTCAGACACACACAAGCATCCATTTATACAGATACACACCGTAATTTTACCCAGATGCCCACACACACACAGGATTGATCACCCCATCGTCTATCATCTGCAGATCGGTTACTGGAATGACCTGGATAAATTGGTTCTGGTCCAGAATGAGCTCTCCATGGGAAATGACTCCGCTATGGAGAACAGAACGGTTATCGTCACGACTATAATGGTAATGTACACGCAACCACCCACATCTGCAGACTTACACATGTAGCGCCATCTAGAGTGAACAGGGCACATTACATCAGTTAGACATACTTGAATAAAACTCATTTGCATTGCTCTGGACTGTATTGGTGAGTAAAACGAGGAAAGAAAGCGAGCCAGTGAAAGAGAGAGAGAGCTGACTGTGCATTATTTCATTTATTATGTTAATGTCATCAGCTTAGCCATAGATAAAGGAACAGGAGGGTTGTACTGAACAAAAAAAAGTTTACATATGCATTTGAGATTGATGTTAAAATTTCCCTTAAAAATGCACCACAGTAACCATCGTTTCCAACAAAACACCATAGTTATAGCAGTCATTGTTAAGGCGCTGTCCCACTAGCTGACTCAATTTGATTTTGGTCAGGGGTGTCAAAACTACTGACTGTTTTTGCCGAAAAGTCGGAAGTCTGTCACACTCAGCGATTAATAATGGATGAGATGACAGACTGAAAGACTGCCTATGACATTTCCATCCCATTCTGTCATGAACTGCTGAAATAAGAACAGGAGCACCATGCAAGCAATTTGAATTTGATTATACAAATGTACAGATTCGCTGTATGACTTTGCATTTGCTGTCAGTTCTTTAGCCTGAGAACATTTACTTTTATATTAATGCATTTGGTAGGTGCTTCAATCCAAAGTCAATTACACTGCATTCATGCATTCCTTGGGAATGCAACCCATGACCTTGGCATCATGTTCTGCTATTTAAGCTACATGAATGCCATATTGCACACAGAAGAAGCTCAGTGGTCACTGCTCAAATGCCATGAGAGCCGCCCACTTACTGCCTCAGGCTATTTCAAACTTGCTAAAAGTTGCATTTAAGTCAGGGGCATTAACAAAAGAGTTGAGTCACTATCTGACCTCTGATTCTACAACAGCTCACGGCCGAAAATCGATTTTGCGTGACATCAGCATTAAAGCCCTAAAAACTCAGAACATTTTAGCAATTAAAATTAGACAAGCTCAAAGGGTTCATATTTTAGAAAATATGCATCTGAAATTCAAATTTATCAGTCACTGTTTTGAATGCTTTATTTAAAACATTTTTAATTTAGAAAATATCAACAATAATTCTTAAAAGAATATTATGGAAAAGGTTCTGAGAATAAAAAAATGATAAAGGTCATTTTGACTTTTTATCTCACATTATTAGCATTTTCTCGCAATTCTGTGGTTATATCTCACTATTCTACATTTAAATCGCACAACTCTGCATTTATATCTCGCAATTCTGGGTTTATATTGCGCAATTCTGCATTTACTGTATATGTCGGAATTATGCATTTATTTCTCACAATTCTGCATTTATATCTTGCAATTCTGCATTTATATCTCGCAATTCTGCATTTATATATCATAATTATGCATTTACTGCATATTTCAGAATTTTACATTTATATCTCGCAATACTGCATTTACTGTATATCTCGCAATACTGCGTTTATATATTGCAGTTCTGTATTTATAGCTCGCAATTATGCATTTACTGTATATCTCACAATTCTGCATTTACTGTATATCTCGCAATTCTGCGTTTATCTCGCAATTCTTCATTTACTGTATATCTCGCAATTCTACGTTTATCTCGCAATTCTGCATTTACTGTATATCTCGCAATTCTGCGTTTATCTCACAATTCTGCATTTACTGTATATCTCGCAATTCTATGTTTATATCTCGCAATTCTGCATTTACTGTATATCTCGCAATTCTGCGTTTATATCTCGCAATTCTGCATTTATATCTCGCAATTCTGCATTTACTGTATATCTCGCAATTCTATGTCTAAATCTCGCAATTCTGCATTTGCAGTAGGCTATTGCGAGATATAAATGCAGAATTGCGAGATATAAATGCAAAATTCTGAAATATGCGGTAAATGCATAATTATGATATATAAATGCAGAATTGCGAGATATAAATGCAGAATTGTGAGATATAAAAGAAGAATTCTGAGAATTCCATGATAATATCAAACAAAAAAACTTGAGACTGTAAAGATGCTTCAGCTAAATATTTAGTTATGAATACTTATGCAATGTACTTATTTCAGTTTTTTTATTTTTAATAAATTTACAAAGTTGTGACAATTCTGTTTTTGCTTTGTCAGTATGGTGTATGGAGGGTAGATTTTAAAGCAGTTTAACATAAGGCAGCAACATAACAAAATGTGAAAAAAATGAATCTTGCAATTCTACATTTATATCAATTCTTAGTTTATCTCTCACAATTCTGCATTTGTATTGTGTAATTCCGCATTTATATCTCACAATTCTACATTTATACCTCGCAATTCTATGTTTACTGTATATCTTGCCGTTCTGCATTTATTTCTCACAATTCTGAGTTTATATCTCTGTCTTTGACTTTGCGAGATTTATCCTGTGGTGGAAAGAAGCTTACACAGAACATAATACGATTTCGAATTAATATTTTAATTTCCAGTTTGAGCTGAATGTTATCTATGAGAAGTGTTATAAAATAGCACTGTTTTATTATTACATAAATATACACAGCCTGTCCTTCAAACAATATTTGAAGTTTTTTAATTGCTTTCCATTTTTTAACTGCTGCCCCAGTTTTACTGTAGTAACAATGGTATTTTGGTGGAAACTCTGGTCAGTGTGGTCAATTCTGTAAGGGTTTAAACAGGGAAAAAGAGCGATAGAAGATTATACCTTAGCAGGCTCCTCCTCTCTCTCTCCTTCTCTGTCTCTCTTTTCTTTTCTGCCGTGCGCTTTTTAAGGCGATGGAGAATTTTACCTCTGCAGGCTCGTCATCGTTTCCATCACTGCTAAAGAATCCGCTGTTCAGACACTGAGCAGAGAGAGGAGGACGAGACAACCGTGAGACACCAGAGAGAGTAATGATTCAGCTGTTTTCAGACCCTCTTCAGCTGGGACTGCAGCGTTAAACATTCACTAACATTCAGCCCACGTACTCGAGGTGCAATGCCAAGGGTGTAAAAAGCAGCTTCGTGGGTATTTCGATTTGTCTTCTTGTGATTGCTTGCCCTTGCTTTATGAATTACATAGTTGGCATTTAAAGGCATCATGAAATCGAAACAGACCTGACTATTGTAACAAATGTCCCTGCTCTCATTGTGCACGATACTTAAGTGCATGTTAATCTAAAAAATGCATTTTTATGATCTTTAAATGTAAGAACTTTCTCTGCCTACACAACCACTTTTTTGCTAATATAAACAAGGTCACATGGGCATTTATACACACCGATAATATCAATGAGCCAATAAAATCCTGATTATATATATTCAAGCCCAACCATTCATTATTTTCCACATAATATATAATATTCAGTTTTACTCAGAAATATTAAATATTAAAAATTATTTCATTATTCATCATATATATATACAACTTTCAACAAATCTATATTATATATATATATATATATATATATATATATATATATAAATATATATATTATTCAATTTGATCACATTTTAAATAAATAT